TTTGCAAGAAAAGTTTTCGAACTCATAATTGTATATGTCTTTATATCTGTTAACTCCCACTATATATTTATCTGTATTTTGTACTCTCAAAAGTTTAAAGGCTCTAAAATATCTTCGTTGATTGGTAGTTTATTATGTAACATTGAAGTATTAATGAAAGAGTTGAATCAAAACACAATCACACCTTTATTATTATACTGTATACCCATCATTCGAATTATCAATGCTTATTATTAGAAACAAGTGCTAATTACACTGAGCGATATTATTCAAAGAGAAAAGTTAGTAATGAAAAAAACATGAAAACACAACAGCAGAGCCAAGATTCTATATCAATGAACTCACCTTCACATCAACAAGGCCTAACAAGAAATCATGCCAGAAATTAATCACCAAAGAATCGCATAAACCATGAATCCACAGAATGTTGAAATCACACAAAAGCAACAAGGTTGCAACTAAAGACAGTTGAAGAAACTATAAAACTTACAACAATGAAGCCACGACAGCTGAGATAACTATAGCTGAAAAGAATAAAAGAAAAAAAGATGTTAGTATATATATAAAAATAAATAAATTAATGATCAGTACTAATAAAGCATGATTAAGTATCTATCTAATTTATATTTATTATCCAACAATGTAATTTAATTTATGACATAGATATTATATTAATATTATAGTAAATAAAAATTGGACAAATTAAAATTATATTTTTTATATACTGATCATGCTGAAAAAATAACTTAAAAAATGATATTGGATTTAAAATCTGGGTTGGCAGATCATAGATGATATGAAAACTAAAAATATAACTTATTTGCATGTATGAAACTATTTTGAAATTTTTTACTTAATATAAAAAAGCCGTAATATAATGTAAGAAATTTTGAAATATTTTGAAATATCTTACGTAATATTTCATAATTTTGATATTTTGCAATATTTCAAAATTTCTTACATAATATTAAGGCTTTTTTATGTTTTGTAAATTATTACGAAATATTATGGTCTTATAAATTTGCTGATGTAGTCTACTTTGGTAACTTATATCAAATACAAAGACAAGTACTTGTGAGCTGAAGCTGCTACTATTACCTACTTAGCCCTTATAGAATTCACCCAAATTCAACTGGATTAAAAGTTTGAGAGGAATTAGTATAAGGACTAGAAGGAAAGTAAATGTAGATACCGTGATCAGAATGAACTTTGTAAGGGCAGGGGAACCAGTAATTGTGCAGTTTAATAATTAGCTCTAATTACTAGTATTGGTCTCAACCATAGTAGATAGGTTCTTTGAACTTAATTCAGAAATGTGTAGAATATAGAAGAATTTGGGAAGTAGCCACTACTCCCATCTGTAGTGACCTATGGGTAACCAAGTTTAGATAAGTTAGTAGAGGCACTTTGGTATAAAGATACTTAGATTAGAATAATTGGTGAATATATTCAATCAGAGGATTTAAATAGATAATCTCCTAGTTGGGTTATAGACATAATATCTAGTATAGAATCTTTAAGCAGACTATTTAAATAGATAACCAAAAGTTGTACATGTGGTTAGTTATACTCTTGTTGTAATACTAAAATGTAGATCTATATGGTTAATGATAAATATTAATAAAGCTTAGTCTTGAAGAACACCTTATAAAAAAAAAAATAAATAAATAAAAGAATACTATTTTTTTTACTTTTTGGTGAAATTTTATAAAGACTAAGAGTAAAGTGTAAAAAAGGGTTTTGGTTTGCAGATAGCTTTAAACTTCAGTAAAGAGAATATTAAAAACTTACTTGTTGTCTTCTTTTAGACCAACTATCTTTAACTTCATCAGTAAAAGCAGTGCTTCTATTAAAATTTTCTGTATAAAAGCACCACCTTCTTGCTAGTTATCTTGTATAAAAATACCTTTAACTTGCATGCTGAATATACAAAGGAGTCCAGAAGAACTGATAGCCTCTTGATCTTTATAAAAACTATTATTTGTAGTTGTCTTTTCTACTTTTCTCCAACAAGTTTCTGTTTTTATTAGCTGTAAGTTTGATGCAAATAATTATTAGAAAGAGTTGTATACTGGATAGAAGTTTTATATTTATTTTAATAAAAAGTTCTAAAAACCTTTTACTTAAAACCTAACTACTTAGGCAATTATTTTACAATATATATAGTATGAAATAATTAGTATTGCAACATACTATAAAAGTTAAAATACAGTATAATTAAATAACAAAAAATAATCAAAAGATTATCTTAATATCAAAAAAAAGTTTTTTTAAGTTTTTTTTTATAATTCAGCTGTCCTGCCTGTCACGTTTTATTTAAGATTAAACTAAACTAAGAAATTTACATTTTCTAATAATAGCTATACTAATTTTCCTGCAAAGCAGCTTATTTACGCTTTCGCCAGATATAACTAGCCTTAGTGAACTTCAAGCCTCCCTCTGAGTAGTGATACAAATTGACAAAAAAGTTTTAATTGATTAGTTGATAAATTATTTTATTCAACTAATCAATTAATCAGTTTTTATTCAACTAATTAATTAGTTGAATAAATAATAAATGAAACTTGATAAAATATACATAAGGTAGCAACTAAAATACTGGTCAATATTCTTATATGATTAGCTGATTTAATTGACCAATCGACTAGCCAATTAATTGACCAATCGACTAATCAATTAATCAATTAGTTGGCTAATTGATTAATCGATTAGTCAACTAATTGATTAATTGACTAAGTTGGGTTTATAAAATTTAAATCGATTAGTTATCAACTTTATAACTAATTGATTAATTCAATTTTCAATTTGTAACACTACTTTCAGGCCCTTAATTTACTAGAGATTATCCTTTAATTATGAGTGGGTACTATATACCAGATCAAAATTGCTTTTTTTTTTTCTAAAATGAAGTACAGACACAAATACAAAGGGCACAAGAAAATAGAAAAATACCTTAACATCAAATTCTGGTCTATCTAAACAAATAAAACTAAACAAAACAAATAACGAAAAGAAAAAAGAAAACAAAAGAAAAGAAACAAAGATAGCACTATTAAATCTGTGTCAGATTATAAAAATTATATAGTACTACAAATAAGCTAGACTAAACTCTATACTAGTTATTTATGTTTATATCCAGGATATAAAAATATTAAAAACTATCTGGTCTTAAAGTAAAGCTCTAAGGTCAAAACTTTCGATTGCTATCCCAACTAGATTGGCAGGTCTTCTGTAGTATTTTAAGCATTATCACGTTATCTAACACTATTCATCCCAAAGTAGATATATATATGTGTATGTATCTTTCCTTTTTTAGCAGCTGTTACTATGTAAAACTTTTGTTGGAAGTATACTGTTTTTTTCATTTTTTGGTGAAAATTTTGTAAAGTACAAAAAGTAAAGTTTGGTAGAAGGTATTAATTTGCAGATAACCTTAAACTTCAGTAAAGAGTATGTTAAAAACTTATATGTTGTTCTTCTTTAGATCAACTATTATCTAACTTCATCAACAGAAGCAGTACTTCTATTAAAATTTTTTGTACAAAGACACCACCTTCTTGCCAGTTAGCTTATACAAGAATGCTTTTAACTTGCATGCCAAATATATAGAGGAATCCTGAGTAAATTGCAAAAATTATGACCTTTATAAAAACTGTTATTGTATAGTTGTCTCTTCTACTTTTTTTCAACAAGTTTCTGTTTTTGTCAGCCATAAGTTTGATACAAGTGATCATTGTGAAGAGAGTGATTTTTTTTTTTTTTAAATTTTTATTAAGCTTTTTTGGTTTTATATATAATATATTATGTTTTTAGTTAAAGGCTAGTAGTTATAAGCCTTAAAAATTATTTTTATATATAAAATTATGCTTTCAACAGTTTTGTTAATACCTAAAGGCTGATTTAAATACTAGTTTTTAAATATTTTTGCTTTTTTATTTTTTCTTTTTGTATATATATTTTGCTTTGCCAAAATCACTTCTTTCTCAAAAATTTGTATAATAAACCACCTTTAGAGCACTAACAAAAAGTTTTCTTGTGCGATTTTACTATATAACAACTTAGCTTTTAACTTTATACCCTAACATTAATGAACTTTAAAAAATTTTGTTAACACAGATTTTTCGAATGCAAATTTACATATTCCGATTAGTCATTTTTCATATGCCACATTAGGTTACTGCAAAGGAGGCGTCTAACCCCACCAGGAGTCTAGACACTTTTGCAATAACGTGATGTGGCGCATGAAAAATAACCAATCGGGCACTGTAAATTTTAATTATCCGCAAGAAAAAAAAAGAAAAAAAAGCAAAAATACTCAAAAACTAGTGTTTAAATCGGTCTTTGGTCACTAACAAGAAATGTCGAGGCGTAATTTTATAAGTATGATCATTCAAGTCCTATAACCATGAACCCTAACCAGAAACATAATATAAAGACAAAAAAAAGTTTTTCCGAATATGCCACAATATGCCACATCACGTTACTGCAAAAGTGTCTAGACTCCTAGCGAAGTCGGGGGAGTTTAAAGCGGAGCATATAGATTCTTAAAATACTGTCAATACTGTCTAAATGCATAATTTTTTAGCATTTAGACAGTTAATTTTCTGATATCTGATTCCCAACCGTACGCATTTAGACAGTATATATATATTTTATCGAATTAACTTTAGGGTTAGTGCCATCTTATAATAGGTCTAAGTTAGGTTTTAGGTAGTTACATATATATATGTAAAATTGCCTTCCCAACATTTTTACTTAATCCACGAACTAGGTTTAGACTGCCATTTTTTTCAGGTTTTTTTTTCTTGTTTTGCTTCACCAGCGATCATCAAAATTCTGTAATTTGATTGGTCATATATTACGTGATTCGGCTCCGCTTAACTTATCGTTATTCGCTACCAAAATTTCGAAGATCATCTACATATATATGCAAAAATAAATAATTCGTTTCGAAATCTATAACCGAAAGAAATACAGTAAATATAAACGAAATGATCAAAATGAAAGCCATTTTTAGTTTACTGCTGCTATTAGCATGTTGTAATCATGTTATTTCATATAGTCAAATATCAAGTGAAGGACTGAAATTGCTTACGGATTTGACAGACACCGAACGTCTTCAAGTTACCGGGGAATTTTTGGAACCAATTTTGATAACGCGGGTTCCTGGCACAGAAGGAAGCGTTAAAGTTCAAAATTTTATTATTTCAAATTTTAAAAAATTGGGATGGCATATCGAACAAGACAATTTTACAGATCATACACCATTAGGAGAAAAATTCTTCAACAATATCATCGTAACAAAGGATATCAATGCCAAAAGGCGACTAGTCTTAGCAGCTCATTACGATTCGAAATACTTTCCACCACCTAACGAATTTGTTGGTGCTACCGATTCTGCCGTTCCATGTGCGATGTTAATAGATCTAGCCCACAGGTTAAATCCACATTTTGATCATAGAAAAGTTGTAGAGTCGGCCGACCTCACACTTCAAATTATTTTTTTTGACGGTGAAGAAGCGTTTGAATCCTGGACAAGCACCGATTCACTTTATGGATCTCGGTATGATTATATAATATTAATTGAGGGTTGGTCAAATCGTTGATCAAACCAAGAATTTACTGGTCAATGGTCTGGTTAAATTGGTCGAATAGTCTGGTCTACTAATTAAATAGTTTTGTTACACATATGAAATCTATATAATAATATGTATATAGACAATTTAGCAAATTTGACAAATGCCAAACCCCTGGATCAGACCGGCTAAATTGAACAAATTGATCTGGTCAATATTGATCGTTTACTGGTCCATGCCAACCTTGAATATTAATATAGTTAATAACCTTTAGAAAATAACTAACTGTTATCAATTTTTTTTCGTAATATTAACCATTTTCATGTTTTTTAGACATCTGGCAGAAAAATGGGAGAATACATATATGATGACGACCACCAATCCTGATAATAAAGCTAGATCCGTCCTTGATGCGATCGATGTATTTGTTTTACTTGATCTTCTAGGCGCGAAAGAACCGAACTTTGTAAATTTTTATCCAACCACTTCATGGATGTTCTCTGAACTTTCAAAAATAGAAGCTCGGCTATACAAAGAAAAAATATTTAACACAACCATTCCAGAAGAAGTATTAGATAATTTTTTTTATTTTGATGCAGATTCTATACATTCAGCTTATGGTCACATTGAAGATGATCATATACCATTCTTAAAAAGAGGGGTTAAAATTCTACATATCATCGCATATCCATTTCCAAGAGTATGGCATACTAATGAAGTGAGTATTTTTTTACAGTTTGTAACGCTTGTATTTTATATATACTTCGTTTATTAATAATCATCGACTCCACAGGATAACATAAACGCTATTGATAAAGAAGTAGTATATAATTTGAACACTATATTTAGAATTTTTGCTGCCGAATATTTAGGCATTGACCCGTCTTTATCCACGACTAGAATTCATGATGAATTGATATAATAGCATATTCATGATGAACTGATTATAGTAGTATATTCATGATGAACTGATATAGTAGTGGATTAATAATTATATTGATAACTATATTAACAATTATTCTGAAAAAACTTATAGAATAATTTCAATGCCTTAGAGGTAAATTAAATTAATATACATTAAAGTTGAATAAACTTATTATTATCTCCGTCTGTAGGAACATTACTATTAGTGTGTGCATAAATATTCCAACTCTACAGACGGATTGATAAATAATGAATTTAGGGTTAAAGTGATGTGATAGTTTAACTAAAAAATTGTCCATTGTTTCTTGATTTGAGTGTGAATTCTTTTGAATCTCTAAGAGCTGAAACTTGGATGATAACCAAGTAATCAAATGAAAAAAAAAAAAACAGATGTTAGAAATTAAGTAGTTCATATCAGCTTCCAATCACAGCCCAGAAGTGCGTGTTCAGTTACTTAAAAAATGATTCTTCATTTTAATAAATTCTGAATTAGCATGGCAAATTATTACATCATAACACGTTGGATGATTGACTGGGCAATTATCATAATGTTTAAAAAATACTACCTTAGATATGCATAAACAAGGATAAGAATTTCATCAGGCTTTGGAGTAATCTAAAGCAAAAGGACCATTAATTTTTTATTTTATTTTATTTTATTTTTGAAAAAAACAATTAAGATAAAATTCGCGATCATTTTTTCATTGATTTAATCATTAACCATTGTAACTCAGAATTTGATAGTACATTTCTTTTGAAATAATCATCTCGCGTTCAATAGCTACTTTAATAAGGAATCACGGAATCTTCTAGTAAAAATTTTATATAAAAGTGCGTACCTTAATTAGATAAAAACCGTAAATATAGACTGCTTCGAAAGACTGATTTCTTTCTCTATAGTACGTACGTACCTAGCTACCATCCAACAACGAATAACAGCCACTGGGGAAAAAACAAAAAAATTAGATATTAAGTCCTATCCGAACGAAAAAAATTTGATCAGAATTTAAAATCTAACCCAACGCTAAGTATACATTATTGCACAGATAATTTCAGGAACGTGATTTTTAACCAATTAGATCGAAGGGTCAGGTGTAACGTAAAAATCAAATTAACTTACTTCTGTTAAATTTAATCTGATATAATTAGATTTATTTCAACTTTTCTTATAACTGGTTGTTTTCATATGGAATATTCACTTTAATTAGTCAATAAAAATTTAAGAATCAACAACCAATGGATCTTTAATTATACTATTAGTGATTTTTTGAAAAACATAAAAATACTGAATATGTTATATCTGATTCTTCAATCTAATTGGTTAAAAATCACATTCTAAAAAATTTTTTGTAGGTGAACTTAGAGATTTAACAAAAATTTTACTACTGCTACGTATTATATAAAATTAAAGCTTATTTGAATTAAAAAGGTTTAGATCAGAATCTGTGCCCGGTTTGCAGATCCTTTCGTGTAACATCCATGCTTACGTACAATCCTATTGGCCGATGCATTTACTAATTTCGGCCTCACTTTCCTATTGGTTGGAATTATTCGCACCAGTTTACATGTCACCTTCTAATTAAAATGTGACACCTAAGTTAAGGTTTGGGGTTAGCATTAGTGGGTAAAATTTTGCAAGGAATTTTTTTTGTTAGTGCCCAAAAGGTGATTTCTTAGGCGAAATTTTGAAATAAATGTGACTTTTCGAAAAAAAGCGATTGTTATTTTGATCTTCACATTACACCTGATCTTGCATTCTGATTGGCCAGAATCAGGAAAGTGAGGCGGAAATTAGTAAATGCTTGGCCGATGATAATAAGGTCATTCTATTAACATTCTATATATATGGGCTAGGTGCTGCGAAAAGCATGATTGAATATCCACCTGATTGGCTGATGATCAATTATTTTTTTCGCGATTTTGATTGGCTCACTATTATAAATATACTTAATATATACGTAGCATGGCCTCAACTTATTAATATTATATTTTACTTTCTCTAAATGCAAGCCCTCTTTAAGTGCATATTTTGCCTTTTTTTACTATGATTCCGAGGGAGCACTTAGAGAAGTTTGACTGTTATACTACTAAGGCCATATAAAGTTAATTAATTGTTTCTCATAACCCGGCTGGGTCAGCTTGTAAATATTCAATACAAAATTTTATGTTATTTACTATAAACACTTCCGGGTGGGTTTTAATAAAAATTTTTATACGTTTTAAATATTATTTAGACAAAAAAAACTTATAAAATTTTTGTGATTTAAAAATTAAAAGCCGGGCGGGCAGGTCACTTTTAGAATTCTATGTTATGAGAAACAGTTATTTAATTTTGTATGGTATATAAAACAATTGTTAAATATGTAATAAATGAATTTTAAATTATTAGTTTTTAAATATTATATTTGCTTTTATTATATACGTAGAATGTGCTTTGTAGTTTAGGTTGTGTTACAAAAATTGCATAGTATTACAAAATTGTATCGCGTTAATACTGCATATTAAACGCGTTAATATTAAAATTAAATAATAAAATTCTCGAAAATTAAAATTTCAAACTAAAGATGCCAAGGCAAAAAATTAACACTGGACCATGTTCAATTTATAATTGTGACAAAAATCAGGATAATTTCCGATGTCTAACTCAATTAGCTATGAAAAAAGCATTTGATAAAAATACTATTCAACGATATCCATACTTACGTGTAGGCCAGCAAGTTTGTAATTCTCATTATATGATTATTGTTGAAAATGGATATACTGAACATAAAAGTGCATCTGTTCCAAATTCATCGACTGAATTGTCATTTGGTGATCGTATTAAAAAAATGACATCCGTTCTATATAAAAATAGACAAAACGGTCTTGTCCTCAATCCATATGAATTTGATAAAATGCTTGAAAATGGAGATCCTAATTTAAGAGGCTTTTTTGCTGAAATGTGTGATATATTAGTACCATATGACCGTTCAGCTTACAACAGAAATGAGGATAAAAAAAAAGTCGTAGTAATTTTGCACTTAATGGCTGGATTGCGTAACAAACATGCTAACAGTTTTAAGTTAGAACTTGCCTTGTTTCTTGCGGGATCTGGAACAACATGTGATGCAATCAACGCGTTAAGTAATGCCGGTATCTCAGCTGCCTATAAGACTGTATATAACTATAAAAAAAAAGTCGCGGATGAGCATTCAGCACGGGTAAAAAAATATTTTACTGATAATAAAAATCATCTTTGTATATATAATTTAGATGATTACCATAATATCCATGAAAACCGCCGTCCAAATAACACTTTTTTATCAGAAGCTGCTCATCTGGCAACAAGCGTGTGTAAAAAAGTTGAAAGGTCGGGTCCGGTGCCAATTATATTTAATGGTGTATCGGTTCATAATCCAAATAATATAGAGGCTCCGCTTATTTGCAAAAAACTCATAGATCAGTACCAAAAATGCTTCGACCTTTCATATTCACAGCGAAAAGCCCAATGGACTAATTCAAATTTATTTGAATTTGATAGGATTGATCAACTTACAATACATACCTATGATAACGCCATTGTAGAACGAAAAGAAGAACGCAGAATGAAAGATGCAATTTTAGTAGGAATACAAGAACAGCAACTTCATTCTGTACAAGATTATCTTAAGGCGCTAAATATGATTTTAAATTATAATAAGGAAATAGGTTGCCTTACCAATAATGTAGCGCCAATTGTTGCCGATTGGCCGGGCCAACTCTTTATTCGTAAAGCACTAACACATTTACAAAATGGTAATAACAACTTGTTAGTGCAACCAGAGGTGGTGTCGTTTGTTCCTCTTCTCGGGCCACTGCATGTCTCTCTTAATACAAGAGAGCATACTATGAAAATTTATTACCCATTTTTCGAAAAGCTTTTTCATGACGTGTTTGGAAAAAAGAAAAAGCTTGCGAAAAAGCCCAGGCCCTGGAGAACAACGCTTTTATTAGAGTTGGCATTCTCTGCATGGATTAAAATTAAAGATAATGTAATAAAAAAATTTACTTATCTGCAAAAAAATATCGAGTATCAAGTAATTATGGAGCTTCTTGATAATATTATACCAGCAGCCCTTGATGTTTACGCATTACTATTTCGGTCTGGCGCCTTTGAAGACTATGTAGAAACAATCTTCCGTATTTGGACCTTTGCATTACGTTGGAAGCGAAAGAATTATAATAAAGCTCCACTAGCTTTTTTATCAGACCTATTT